TGCGATGCAGATTATTAAGATTTATGCAAATTATTAATTTTTAACTAGTAAGAAATATTCAACATCAATTGATGGTGGAGACAAACCTTAGACGTTTTTACCATGATCTGATGGGAAATGTTTTCAACCTTCAGGAAGATATTTGTCTGCGGAGTTTTACGACCTCCAGATGATGCCTGGAAGTCTGAGTATCTCTCAATTTCTTTGGTTGAATGTTCCTTTTTTTTTTTTTTTTTTTTTTTTTTTTCTGGAATAAATAATGAAGCGATACTGATCTGAAGAGACCATTTGTGTTAGGATGATAACATATAAGAAATTTCTAAAACTCTTTTGTTATAAAGTATTCGAGTAAGTCGCCGACATGTCAAGGGCTTCTAAAATTCCCGTGATAGCCCCATGTTTGATTTGGGATGCAATGTAGCTTCCTATTTCCTTGAAATTCATTGACTTTTTCAGCGTCAATTTCAAAAAAACGTTTTAGATTTCATCCACATAATAATATAAATATGTAAATATAATGTGAGTATTCACTATGGACAATTAATCAGCGAAAATGTTAATTTATTCCGCACTCATGAATGACAGGTATATCTTGCATTCAGCAAAATGTTCTGCATGTTAATTACTTTGTTTAATCAAATTTCCCACGGACAATAATAGAGCCGTAACTCCATTTGCATTTCATGTAATAGTACAGTTTTGATAATGTAACATTGTACAATGGATAAAATGTAATTTTCGAAATTTACTATATTTTTCAGGTTTTTTAGGTTTGTGTAATTCACAGCAAATTGGAGCACTAAATCGAAACAAAATAAAATACAATCACAATTATATATTTCTAACTTTGGACGATTTTAAAACATCGGAAGAACATTCAAAGATTTGGTAACTCCTTACATCCACCTCCCCTAACACACCATTTAAAAAGCAACTCTTAAAAAAAATATTTGGCTTTTTTGTTTGTAACATTATTACCATCCACGCATTTTCCAATGAACTCATCTGGATGACATAGAGGGCATGTGATTGCGTTAGAATGGTAATGCAGCTGGAGAAGGTAAGGAATAATTCTCGAACTTTCTTTTGCGGGTGATGGAAAAGGCTGCTGATCTAAGCAAATTTGATAGAGTGCAGATTCTGATGGCGCGAAGACTCGGACGATTATCTATGAAACTGCACGGCTGGTAGATTGGTCACGATCTGCTGTTGTTGTTATTAATGCAAAGTGGATAAATTACGGTGAAAACAGCAGTAGACGCTAACGTGTTAGACGTCCACGTGTCACCAAAGAAAAAGGGCTTCGGAGACTGTCCCGCTTGATAAAGCAAAATCGGCACCAGACAGTGCCTCAGTTGATAGCCCAATATAATCCATATGCAGGTCCAAGTGCAAGTGTTTCGTAACACACAATTCAAAGGATAGTTTTGGGTATGGGACTGCACAGTGGACGTCCGACCTCGTGTGTCTTTATTGACCAAGCCTTGTTGTCAACTACATCTAAAGTGAGACCGGGAACATCCAGACTGGATCATGGATAAGTGGAAGAAAATTGCCTGGTCGGATGAATCATGGTGGTGGCAGTATTATGCTTTGGGGAACGTTCCCATGCGCAGCTCTGGGATCTTTAGTTGTAGAATAGACCACGAAAGCTGCAGACTATCTAAACATAATTGCAGATCAGTTTCACCATTACCTGGCGTCTGTCTTCCCAACTGGAAATGGAATCTTCCAGCAGGACAACATCCCAAGTCACTAGACTCTAACTGTGTTGGCATTCTTCAGGGAGCATAAGGATGGATTGCATTTGAAGTCCTGGCCACCTAACTCGCCGAAGAAATATCCTTAAATTACTAAGTTCAACGACTTCCAAATGTGCTGTATCGGGAGTTATCCCAATACAGCATATTTGGGAGTATTTGAACTGAACGTCATCATAGTTGAAACACCACCATGTCGGAATATCTCAACTTTATATGACCGCTGCTTAGTATTTCGTACAACCTGTCTCCAGTCATTTACCAAGAACTTGTGGCACCCATGCCAAGGCGAGTTGAAGCTGCTTTGCAGACCAAAGGTTGCGCGATGCGTTAAATAGACCACAAATATCAGTAATGTTTTTATTATACTTTCATCCATACATCATTTTATAATTTTCTATAGTGATCTTCACGATATTTATCATAAGAGCATCAAACATATAAAATCTTTCGTAATCATTGATTGGGTTCACATATATTTCTTAGCCATTTGCATACTTCACGCGTAGCGTTTTCGCGCGCTTTTTTCCTTAGTAATTTAAGGATTTTTATTAATAAGTCAAAAGGCAGATTGCATCTCAAATTTCAGTAAATTTCCATCCACAGTGCAGACGTAAATTTACTTATTACTTAAATATGTAAAACTGCAAACAAAAAATGCATACTTGGCTCATTAAGATTCAAAACATAGTTCAAAATGTAAAAGAAGTATTGTTCATATAAAAATCTCTTTAGCAGTTATAATTAACTTTTTGCATTAGAACAAACAATCAATACCGTTTCAGTTTTGTTATAACTTTCGTTGTTCATACTCTCTGTTATTTCACAATGAGCTTCTATTTCCCAAAAATTGAGACTAGCAAGATAAGTAAGAAATGATGCTATATATTTTCAGTAAATTTAATTGTGGGAATTATATAAATTTTAAAATAAACTTTATTTTCATGACATCTATACAGAATTTAAAGAAAATATTTATTTGAATATAATTTTAGGATATTAACATTTTATTTTATGTCTTACTATTATTTAGAAACATACAAAGAGAAAAATCACTGTTTGTCACAACGAAGCAGATTTATAACTAAGAAGAATATTTTCAGCCCTACAGATATATAATATATTTACATATTCGGAATTACTTTTACCTTATCCCTACCTTGTACATGATTGAATGTTTTAAAAAATAATTCAAAACCTGCAGCATAATGGAAATACAAACGAATTTAAATATTTCATTGAATGAAAAAGTAAAAGTATTCTTCAAATAAATGTGCCTCTTCAGTTACTTTACATTTCTAATTTCTTTTGGATTGTACATTTTTTCAAATTTTAGAGATATATAAAATTTTTAGGAATATTTGAACTGCGACTTCGTAGAATATTTTCCTTATTACTGAAAATAAAATCTTCGAAGAAATTTGATCTTCAAAACTCGTTGTTTTCAAAACAAAATCGGAAGAAATATTTTCAATTTTAAAAGTAACTCTCAAATTAAATTCCAGGCGCTTAAAAGATTTATTATATTGTGTGCATATTTTCGTGCTTACCATATTTACATTCATCACTAAAACTCAATATTTTATTTTATAATGATGTTAGGAAAAAGCAAATTGATAAAAGAAAAATTTGAACAATTCATTTTTCATTCACTTATGCAGGTATTGGAGGGTATCGCTCCAATACCTGCATAAGTGATATCATATATACCTGCATAAGTGATATCGCGCTAAGCGCGATATGTCCTGCTCAATGAATTATACGCATGGGCACATGACAGTATAGAAACCCGACGAAGTAAACGGGCGTCGGAGGTACAAATTTGAGCAGTTATGAACTAATATTATGTATTTAAACTGTTTTCACGTGTCATGTGTGGTATTCTTCGAGAAAAATATTCTATAGCGTTAGCGTTCAATCATGTACAAGGTAATGATAATGTAAATGTAATTCCAAATATGTAAATATATTATATATCTGTAGGGCTGAAATTTTTATTCTTAGCTTTAAATCTGCTTCGTTGTGACAAACAATGATTTTTCTCTTTGTATATGTTTCTAAATAATAGTAAGACCTAAAATAAAATGTTAATATCCTAAAACTATATTCAAGTAAATATTTTCTTTAACTTCTGTATAGATGGCATGAAAATAAAGTTTATTTTAAAATTTATATAATTACCACAATTGAATTTACTAAAAATATATAGCGTCATTCTTACTTATGTTGATACTCAACTTTGTGGAAAATAAAACCTCATTGTGAAATAACAGATAGTATGAACATCGAAAGTTATAACAAAACTGAAACCGTGTTGATATTCTATGACCTTAATTTTTAATTTTATTTTATTTAATATTAATTGTAGCATAAATTGTAACACATTAAAATATTTTTAAAACGCAATATTTCATTTTTGGAATAAGAACATGAATATTGATAAACTTTAGGTTTTTTAGATTTTAAGGATTCATTATTAATAAATACCATTTGAAATTGTTTTGTCAATGTCAAAATGCTTCATAAAATATCAGAGGAGATTTAGTTTCCATTATATGATATTTCCAGTTTTCTAAATATATGAAGAATAAAATACATTTTGTACTCCTCGGATTTTGAGTTTTTTTAATATTGTACCTTGGGCAGAGAGAAAAGCTTTCCCTTTTAAATGTTTATAAACATTACCTTTATAAAATAAGTTAGACATATCCTGAAATATGGTTCGATGAAGTACATATAAACAATGGAAAAATCAATTTAATTAACAGAAATGTACATACTTGTTTCAAAAGGAAAGTCAGATAAATATAATAATAAGTAAAATACACTTTTCTTTGTAAGCACAATTTCGTTTTGCCAGAGTTATATGCAATTCATTATCAGTGCCTTCTAAAATCACTTCAGAAATTAAAATTATTTCTAACCATGATATGATACATAACTCTAAAATTATATAACCATAAATTTACAAAAAGTTCTCTTTTCTAGATTTACTTTTTATGATAAAATTAAATGATATTGTTAAAAGCAAGACATCATTTTTTACATAAAATTTCGTAAATGGTAGTCCAGATATAAATAATGTTCTGATTATTACTTATGAAAGATGAAATATTATGTATTACACTTAAGCGCTCGGGAAGAATGCATGTTTAGAGTTAAAAAATATTTTTAAAAAAAGAGCTGCTAATGCAGAAAACTTACGCTTATCCCACTGGTATTCTATATTCCATTTATATACTAATTACCAGCTTGTAATAAAATGAATTTTGTGCTTAAATTTGTCAAACCTATAATTAATTGAAAAAATAAGTAACATTACTTTTCATAATTTTATTATCAAGTCTAATGTTGACTATGCGTAATTCTCTTTAAAAAAATCGCTTTAATGAATGAAGAGATTTGAAAAACAAATGCGTATTTGATCAAGTATCTTTTGTGTAAATTAAGCATGATAATAATATATGGGCTGATACATACGTATACATATTGTGAGTCTTATCTGATAAGGCTCACAATATGTACGAAATTTTCTTCTTCATGCTTATGAAATCAAACTGAAGTCCAAAGCAAACAGAAAAATAAAAATACATCCACTTACCACAGTGTCCTTGGTATTTAATAGAAATTTCTTTCATCTCTTTACAAGCTGTCCTTTCTAGTTCACACACATTGGAGTAATCCCTGCCGTCACTTCCACAAACAGGACGAGAACCTCTGCTGTCTCCATAAGTTGCACACTTTTCTGGACATACGCATTCTGCTGTCCGGCCATCAAGTGACGGTCTGCATTTAGATCCCCGGCGGCAATCTTTGGTTTCGCAGGGGTCCTTAATATCTGCAGGAAATTGGTAACAGCCCAGTGTCAGTTGCAGCCACACTAAAGTTGTTGAGAATAAGATGGCAACAGTTTCTATATTCCTCATGACCTAAAACTTTTTGATTAGCATGCACTTTTATGATACATTATCATGAGGGCTCTGGTTCTTAACTTCAGTACTATTTATTTACTAATATAGCCTATTATACAAAAATCAGTGTAACCATTTCACAATTAAGTTAATAATTATTCACATTGTGGGTATTACACAAAGCTCATTTTCAAAATCTTGTACACTAAGGAGAGGTTGGGCAATGCATACATCTTTGAAACATTCGAAAACATCGAATGATGTATATAGACTACATATATTAATAACCTTTCACTTAAATTTACAGTATTCGTTTACCTAAATATTTATACAAATAGTAACAATAGTGTCTATAGGTAGAAAATAAGTGGAACATTTTTAATTTGGGTAATGTTTACTTTCAAGTGATTTTGGATGCAATATAATAAAATTCTAATTTTATTTTAACGTGAAATAGTTGAGGTTACTAATTTATCTAAATAGTAAAACGGGTAATGTTTTTTATTTCTTTTTATCAAAACGATTGTATGTAATATAAAAATGGAGATATCAGAGGTCAGGTTATTAGCAATACATGCTTTCAAAATGTTCATGCATTCTCCTAAATATCACATTGTATTTAACTTCAAAATAAATAAAAAGTTTCGGAACTCAAAGATTATCTGAAGTGTTGTAAATGTTGTCTTTTATCCAATCACAAACAAGCACACCCTCTACACGAAGTTTCTGAGCAGTTTCGAAGTTCCACTAGATTCGTCTCGGAACGTAGACACCTTCGTAATGCCGTCGACACCTCTGCCTACTCCCCACCCCTGCCAAGATGACTCTAAGCGCGCATGCGCTTTGATCCTCCACTTCCACCCTTGGCCTCATCCTTCGCATTCAGGAGCAGTGGCTAAACGGAAACCAATCGAACGCCCCCAAGCGGAGATTGCTAACAGCAAAGAGAGAAATTTCTGAAAAGTGGATGAGAAAAATTGTTCCTTTAACCTAGTTTGGGATAATTCTTTTTTATCTTCCGTTGTATTAGAAAATCAATTATAAACTATGTTGTTTACTTACTTGGTTTCCCAATATCAGTAATGGGGCATTTTTAGTTCTGACACTCAATGGTTTCACATATTAAGTCCATTAAAGTAGAGTACATTTCCACCACATAAATTATATGGGTATCATACAATTTGTATGTTTTCTTTCATTGACGGGATAACGCAAAAGGCAGTTTGAATATATAATGTAATAGCTCATCAAGAACTTTATATATACATGGATACGAATTTATTTTCTTAAGAAATCAGTTTGCGCTTTTAAGCACATTAGAGATTTTCAATATACGTCTTTATGCTAATTTAAAAATAAATTCTATAAAATATATAAAATTTTCAATTACGCAAGAACTTTTTCTGGGCTTAAAAAATCTAAGATTCCAAAAAGCACTCTTCTGTATTACATTCCAGATTATTTTCTCTATTTTTACAAATAAGGTACTGAAAAGAAGCTAAATAAATTTTTGAAAAAACATATAATTAGATATAAATTACGCAAAACACTGTAAAACCCATGTAATTAAGAACACAAATTCATTATTAGGAATATAATACCGCAGTTAAATTATAAGGTATTTCTCCCGCCTTCTTGACATGTCTTCGTGGTGTGGTGGTCTGCACGCTAGGCGGGTATTCCAGAGGTCCGTGGTTCGATTCCGGCAAAGGCGTTGCTATGTTTTCATCTTGCCTGCTTCCAAAGAAACCTAATATCTCTACACTGGCACCCGAAGTAAAGGGGTGGTGGGTGATGATTCTCCCCACCCGGGATTTGGCGATCGGGTCCTATAAAAAACCCACTCGCCCTTTAAAAAGGAGTGTATATAAGATATTTTTCCCACCTTCTTGGCATGCCTTCGTGGTGTGGGGGTTTGAACGCTGGGCGCGTATTCCAGAGGTCTGCGGTTCGATTCCCGGCGAAGGCGTTGCTTTTCATCTTGCTTGCTTCTAAAAATACCTAATGTCTCTACAAAGTAATTAACACATTCTAAATTGGAACTAATAAATATTTGCTAGGGACTTTATTATTAATATATTATATGCCTTATTATTAGTATTATACTCGATATATACTTAATTAATTAAATACATTATTAAAACTATAAAACTAGGAATATAACATCTATTAACCTCTGTATCTGCACACATATAAGCCTACATACTGTAAAGAAAACTTATTAAAACCATTGGAAGAGCTGGAAATTTAACTGATAGTAATTTATATAACAAACAATACTTTTTCAGGAAAATTAAAAAGTAACTTTCTGGAAATTATTTTTAATATTAATACAAAATGAAATAAAAAATCAATGACATTTATAGGATTTAAATATATATGACAATATTTAACACGAAATATTAAGAGTATACATACTCATGACAGCAATTAATTATGGATGTCTTTCTTTTATCATTAAGACTGTGCTAAATATAAAATTACGAAACACTAAATTTCTTATAGTTTGTATTTTCGAAAGGAAAAGCTTGAAAACTGTCCAAATTACAGAAGTGAAATCCTAAACGTAAACTGTTACAACAAAACTGAAGAGAAAAATTATTTTAATTAGCGTTTTTATGCAAATAACAATAACAGCTGGTTTATTAATTAGTAATAAACATTAAAGCGTTACTGTACGAATAAGATCTCGTGATATTGATTTTACTTTGAGACTAAGAAAATGATTTTAAAGTACTAATTTGCATACTGATACAGATAAATACATACCTATCAGATAAACACACACAATAATAATATACTTGTAATGTGAAACAAAATAGTTATTCCTTTACGTATATATGCACATGATTTACTGAAACAGGAATTAAGTTAAATCTGTAAAATATGCTTCGCGGTAATTGTACTCCTCATGCAGTGAAAACGCATTCACTTATCGCAAAGCTTTTGTTATTGTAACTCAATGAATTGCAATTTCGTATTTTTACAATTAAGGAAAAAATATATATATATATTATTTAGCTGGTATGTTTAGAGTAAAATATTTATAATACGTTTAAGAATCTTTTCATTAAACTTAATTTTAAATTTTCTTATTAGCAGCACTGCATCTAAATTAAGATTTAGAATTTTGTTTTCACCTCTATTTAGGTACGACTTCTCAGGAGCAACACATGTTTTCAATGTCTCTGATGGAAGATCTACAAGTACAAATGGCTCTTATTTGGCATTACTGCTACCTTTCAACATCAAGTTATAAATCACCCAGCAGACATAAATATATTATACATATTCTACTTACTTATTATGTGCAGTCAAAACATTTTTTACTAGGATATGAAATTGTGGCTTAGTTCAAAAATGGCACGAACCTGTGAGAATTCTGTGCTTTATAATTCATCTATTTTACGTGAATATTGTATGCATATTTTCTTCATGTTTTTAAAGGGAGTTTGTTACAGAAGAAACAAGGACAGATTTTTTTATTTTATTTATTTATTTATTTATTTATTTTATTATTAAATTACTGAAAACTGACGTTTTGCATTAACAAGATGAAACTAGGAAAAAACAAATACAGAGAAGAAGGGATGTAGGTAAACCTTTCAACAACAAATCTAATCACAAATCAAATGAAAAGATTTAAGTTAACTTTTAGGAATTGAGAAATGAAGATTACGTAATCATTTTGAAGGTCATCGTATATGTGAACTGTTACGTCCAAGTCATAACCGTAATAATCTCCTAATTTATTCTTTAATATTAAATTTTATTTTAATACAAATTTGAGGACCATGCATAAAATCAACCTGACCTTTCTTTTATTATAGTAGTAAAATTTTTAGTTTCCTTATTTCACTTTTCATATAAGTAAATAAATAGAAGCGAATAAACAGACTAGTAATTAATATTTTAATATTCAAAGAGATTTTGACATGTCAATTTGCTAGCATCACGCATATAAAATAGCATTATCGAAAATAGTACGTGCTAGCTGCTCTCTCCTTAAATGAGAACTTAAATATCAGTTTACAGAAATTTATACTGTTATTTAATGTGACAATGCAGATTTTGGTCATATTTCTTGCAGGAGCTTTTTTCACACCTAAACGTATTTCTTATCATTCAATACGAAGAAATGGAATGATGTTTCTTCAGGTTTCCTTTTCTTTAAGTAACTTTGCACGTTAGCGCAATATTCTGAAACTTTGAACTACCTCTAGAAACATTTCAAAATATACATTCACAGAAAATAAAATTTTAAATAATTGATCATTTATCAAAATAACCTATATTTTTAGAGTTTATGCGTCAAAAAGACTTCAATTACCGCATGTTTCATAGAGCTATGACTTTTGAAAATCCGTGCTTAAAATTGATTAACAACATTTAATTATTCCTAATGTTTTGGTTTGGTTTATTTAATTACGTTAAAACCTCGAGGGATATCTGCCTAAGGTGAATGATACCTTCGTGGAGGATTTTCTAAAGGAAACTGGCTCGTATACATTTTACACATGGGAAAAAAACATGAAAACGCCCATGCGGCCAGCCCGCTCGCGGGGTTCGAACGTTCGACCGAAGTACCAATGTTTAGTGACTTATTCCCTAGTGGATCTTAATTTAACAACTCTCTTAGAGGTATCTTCTGAAATTACATACGAAATTAAAATTCATTACTACAGCCTTCATGTCTTAAAATGTCTCTGCGGTTTCTAATATTACTCGGCAGTTGCTTTACGCAATTGATATACAACCCGCTCAACAACAAAATAGTGATGCTTTGAATATTAAAGTGCCTACTTGTGGAAGAATATGATCACCAAAAAATGCCCTTCACTGTGTATAATCAGCTAATTTAACATTATTTAATTGCTTCCAAAATTATTGCCTCTATAAATCGCGAAATACTTTTCACTGGTCTCTTATAAAATTTCTTCCTGCTTCATTACTGCATGTGTTCATAGTGTACTTGTAGATATGTCCTGCTAGCAGCAGAAGGTTCAGAATTCAAA